TTCTTAAAATCATGAATCATCATGGCCGTTACTCGTGATACGAGCTTGGAATTCTGGTCGAATTCACATACAATAATAGTATAAATGCCTTATAAATTTAGGCCATCGATTGTCTCAACTAAATCTGGATTTTGCTGCAGTATTGGAATTCGGGGACAGATATCAGCACGGTTTTTACAAGGACCTCAGTCCAGTGGATGTAACGTGGATTTTATGCAAGGGGCAGAGGTTCGCGCGCAACCCTGGCCCCCACGCTAGACCCCTCCGATTTGCACGTGCTTTTTTACTGGTTTCGAGATATTAGGGGCTGTCAGCTCCTGTCTAGATTTACCCCTACCTTAGGTACCTATTTTTACCTCACATTCCTCGCCATCATCCGATCTTAACAACGCCTCATCTCGGATGCCGGAACATACAAGTCATAATCAGCTGACGAGTTACGGGCTCCATCCCACGCAATGATTTTGGCCAAGTTACCATTCGCCGCACATGCTCTAGTTGAGACAGCGGCAGCCCTATCATTCATATTCAGCCCAGACAAACAGCTCCCCGGATGCAATACAGCTGCGAAGCTCATTCTGCGCCAGTATGGCGGCCTACTATTATCAACTAACCTAATTTGCCTTGTCATTCTCAATGAGCCTGGCTTCACCGACGTGGCCAGACTCTTCGCAGCGGCTCTCGGAACTTATCACATTTGGCCGTGCTATCGAGCCTACATTCGCATTCGTCACGATATAGGGGTGTCGGGCAAAGAGCAACCTACATTAGGTGGTCCTGTGTTGCACTTGATAGTGCATCTAGCCTGTCTGGCAATGTTCGCGTGGGCTTACATGTCACCTGAAATACCATGAGAATCAATCAATTTCTTCGACATCTGCCGCGGAAACTCAAGTGCAGATATTATAAAACCAGAGTCGGAAACGAGAACGTCGTACGCCGAGAATATAGATTCTCCTATTTCGCTTGACACGGATTAACACCACTCCTGTTAGGACCTCCCCAGGTGCCCGATGCGAGGCGGGAAGGTGGAAAATAACGAGTGAAGAATATACTGCGCGAACTGTCTCCCATTTCTAGTCTCTGCATCGCATTATTACATCTAGGTTGGTCCTGCTGAATCAGATTCCCGTCGCGAGTTGATCGACATGATGCTCCAGGCTAGCTTGAACATCCGGTCGGCTGCGTAGAACTCAGTAAGCTGTTACCGAGTTAAGGTCAACCAGATGAACCATGACCTACCTTGTGGGTTACCGAGCTTTAGATATCTGAGTCCACGCTCGTATTTGTGGACATTGCGTTTCTCATCCCCCTCAAGCTCTCCTAGCTTACACGGTCGTCGTTGCAGTACCACTTGAATGCCACATCCAGGATTGCAAGGATTTCTAGGATTTAATGAGGACAAAGGCTATCAATTACATCAGCTCTCAAGTGCCGGATGAGTCCAAGAGGGCTAGGTTCATGGACTTTACGCTAGAAATATTGGCTGGCCATGGGTTTGCATTATCATACCCCATCTACTCTATGACTTCGGATCATACCCCCATCTTTGACTTCAGCGATGATGGGTTTGTATTATCAGCAACGAAGCGACGGACAATCCCCAGGGCCCCGACGAAAGGCCGAGCCCGACCCTGATTTATGTGGCGTCAACAGAGTAAGCGGTGGTTATTTCAGTGCAAATCCATATAATACGATGCATTACGACAGTTCTGGGATCCATGGACACGGCAGTTCGTTCTCTATCTGATTATTTTCCCATTAAGGGGTGTGGTTGTGAGTAGGAGACGAGGAGGCGTCGAGCCATGCCCCGTTCGTTTAGTTATCAGAATACAACTGACTGAGCCATTTTGATTTTATGACTACCTGTTTACCTCGAGTACATTTACTAGAGGTTTTCTGATTTCGGATGCCTTAGATATACATCTCCTATTCATCGACCCATGTCTCCTTTACTTGCCTAACGATATGATTTCAATGCAACAAATAAAGTGCAAGATCACTTGAATTTCCGTAGAACTATGCTTATAACAACATGTGCACGTATCTAGGATTCATTTTTGGTAAGCGCTGTTGGTATTGCTTAATACTTGAACAACCTAGCCCCAGAGCTAGATGCACAGGCCAGATCCTCAACGAATACCCAGTTGACATCCTCCCTTTACCTCTTCCGCTGATCTACTCTGTAGCTTAGTGCTCTCTATCGTCCCATCCTAACAGTTAAACCGTGACTGCGTTACCCAGTTGCACATCACCTGGCCGACACAGCTGCAGCACATGCAGGCCTAATCCAACTTGTTAGCGAATTTTCTCCCTTGAGCTCACGCTCACAAGTATGTCGTACCTTCTTGGCTCTATCGTCATTACTAGTACCATCAATACAGGATAGTGTTTGGTTGTTTGTAAAACGGAATTGGTTGTAGCAGGCGTTGGCATCGATAACAGCGGCACACTCGTCTGTTGCTGCGAGCTCTCGAGTGCATTCGGGGAACTGTTGGCCGACTGCCACGACAGCCCAGAAGAGGGAAATGGTAAGTGAGACCTTCATCGTGAGAGCTGAAGAGTTGTTCTTCGCCGAGACTAGCTTAGGTGCGGATGGTTAGGTCAAAACTGACTACTTCAAAGCACACGAGTAGAATTCGTACGTATTTTAGGACCAATCTATATTACATCGGATTAAATATTATGATTATGCTCAAACCTTTAGTCGTGTTCATAGTAACTCAAATCTTCGGTGTGTTTTAATTATCGATTTTAGCCGAGCGCCCCTGAGCCATGCTTCCGGATTATGTGTAAGGAATAACTAAGAATTGGCACTCACTCTTATTCGCCAGGAATGATTAGAACTGATATTATGTAGCCACTATAGTGCGGGGAGAATAAAGAAAGCAGCTGGGGTCGACCATTCTGGTCTAATAGGGGGTAACATACAAGTCTACTTGGGAGTTGCATATATCGTCTCTTTTGGCCACATTGGAGCTTAAACACGTATGTAGAGCCCAGCCCAGATATTATTATTGAATTCTCTCCCTAATATTGAAGGATAGCATGGTACAAGTATAGTTAAAATCCCTGTAGTGGTTATGAGCTCGGTCAGGGGTTAAACACATATAAGCCCCTGGCCGAAATAATACCCTATTAATAGCAAATGACGAATACAATATTGATAATGGGCGTCACTTTAATCCTACCAATGTCGCAGTGCCGTCAAAGTTTCCGGAGAGTGACGTTTACTGCCGACTCGACATCCATATGCAAGTCCCGAACCAGTAAACGATCTCCACATTAACCGGGATCACAGTCAAAGCCCGCTCGCCTATCGAAATGTTTTCCTATATTAATAAACAATATCTTCCGAGACCGAGCGTCAAGCATGCATTTCTTATCAGGTGTGGAAGAGACGGCAGTGGTTTGCGGACAGGTGAATGATGTCCACACCGTGGCGAAGATAACAACTCTAGCCTGTCTCTTCCCACTTCTCGATTATGTTCCAAGTCCAGCGACATCTGAGAATCAGCAACACAATAGGTCCTCGTCGAGATGCAGTTGAACACTCTAATCGCTGCCCTAGGGCTGTTCGCCCCCGCGAACGCGTTACTTCGATTCGGTTGCTCGTCCCTGACCGTCCAGCGCCTAGATCCTTTAGTTGAGCCCGGAATGAACCCGTCGACCCATCTTCACCAGATCATTGGAGGCGTATGTTCCGACCTTGTCACGATCTTACCTTTACACTCATTGCTAATTTCCTGTAGAACTCGTTCAACGTGTCGATGCCTCCCGAGGAACATGATCTTGCGGGACTTTCGACTTGTACAAGTTGCCAGTTCACGGAGGACTTATCTAACTACTGGACCGCCGTTCTCTTCTACCGTGCCAAGAATGGCACGTTCAAGAGGGTCCCGCAGATGGCTCAGACTCAGGGAAACCAGGGTGGCATGGTGAGTAGATATTCACCAGTTTTTGTGACGGTCTAACTCATCTCCAAAAGACTGTCTATTATATGAGCGACGCCCTGTTCGATACCGCTCAAAAGTCTACGGTCACAGCTTTCAAGCCCGGTTTCCGTATGCTCGTCGGTGACTCGACGTTCCGTGACCGCGAACAGTCCAGAAACTTCCGCCAACTAACCTACATCTGCATGGAGAACAGCGGCACTCGTGCTCCGGAATACGTTGGTTTCCCTACGAGGCCTTGCCCCGGAGGTATTATGATAAACCAGAGGTTCCCTTCGTGCTGGGATGGAAAAAACCTGGACTCTCCCAACCACCAAGACCACGTTGCGTACCCAGAGACAGGTACCTTCGAGTCGGGCGGCCCCTGCCCTGCGACCCACCCTGTCAGACTTCCCCAGATCCTGCTCGAGACCGTATGGGACACCAGGGCTTTCAACGATCCGGCAGATTTCGTGGATGGCAGCCAGCCGTTCGTCTGGTCCAGCGGCGACGCCACTGGATTTAGCAACCATGCCGATTATCTATTCGGCTGGAAGGGCGACTCCCTGCAGCGACATCTTGACAGCCACACGTACGTGTCGGCGCCGACGCTCAAGACCCAGAGCACCGCTCTACAGAACCAATGCAAGGTTCCGGACATGGTGGGCGAGGATATTGACAGCTGTAAGTCGCAGAATATCCCTTCTTGAAACACGCTGGTAGCTAATCGTTTTGTTACAGGGTTGACCAGTCTTCCTGGCGGAAACCAGGTCTCGTAAAGGAGTGTATTCATAGAGTGGCGATACACTCAGTACCCAGAAGTCGTACCGAGAAACTGAAAGATTCGGGAGTTTCTCCTCAGCACAAACCTCTTACTTGTCGACGTGCTCTGTTATGGTAAGAGCCGTCAGCACTTGGTCGCGTACGTGCACCTCGGATATAGTTTTCATAATATTGAATTTAGGTCCCATTATTCAACGGATTCTTGTTTCGAGATATTGTCTTTGTAGGTGGGTGAATATAAAAAAAGAAAAAAAAAAAAGAAAAATAGTAAGCAATCTCAGAAAGCGACGCCTGCAGGATTCGAACCTGCGCCCCCGAAGGGATTGCCTTACAAACTACTATCTTCCGATGGTGGGGATAGCAGGGCAACGTGTTAGGCCACTCCACCAAAGCGCCCTGAGATGAGAGGCCAGAACGGACTTCTCACGTGACATGTCCTTTAATTCTGTCAAACTCATCTAAGTAGCATTCTTTAGCTCCGAGAAGAAAGAAAGGTTCTTAGAGGTTTCAACAGACCGATTCGATGGCTCGAAGAGGCTACGACAATGCATTACCACACAAGTGTCTCCTAATACCATACCGGCTGATAGGTCTGGCCTCAGGTACCTAGGAGATAAGTAGAGAGATGATTAGGAAATAAAAGCATAGACACGAGCATGTTTTAGGCATCGGTATTTACATAGGTATATTATATTACGATTTGGCTGATACAGTTCATCTAGGGGCTACGGAATGCCTTCTTCGACAAGAGGACAAGAACCGGCATCCCTACGTGGGGTGCCCACACTGCTCATCTAGGCACTAATGGGCACCGTTGGCGCCACCTTCCCTTTTCTTCAGCTCCTCGCGCACCCTAGGCAGCACGTAGCGCCCGTAGTCGATCGCATCGTTAAGGTTGTCGTACCCGCGGATGGAAATCAGCTCGGCGCCCAGGCCGACGTAATCCAGGAGCGAGTCGACGACCGTCTGGATTGAGCCGACGAGGGCCGTCGACGCGCCGCGCGCGTTGGTCGCCGTGACCGTCGGGTACCACAGCGCGCGGTCCTGGACCTCGCCGCGCTTCGCGATCTCCAGCAGCCGCTGCGACCCGACGTTCTGCGGCGGCGGCGCCCCGGCCGGCACGCGGCTCTTGCCCTCGGCGCGGTTGCCCGCGAGCGCGTCGAGCGTGCGGTGCGCCTTGGCCCACGCCAGCTCCTCGGTCTCCGCCACGATCGGCCGGAACGTCACCCAGATGCGCGGGCGGTCTTCGCGCCCGGCCTTCGCCGCCTCCGCGTAGATCCGGTCGATCTGCTCTTTGGTCTCCTTGAGCGGCTCCCCCCACAGCCCGAAGATGTCGGCGAGGCTGCCGCCGATGCGGTATGCCTCCGCCGACGACCCGCCTACCGATACCGGGATGCTTTTGCCGTTCACCGGGCGCACAAGGTTGCGGAATTGCTTGAACTGGTAGTACTTGCCGTCCCAGTCGAAGGGCTCCGGCGACTCCCACGCCCGCTTGAGGATCTTTATGTACTCCTCGAGCCGCGCGTAGCGCTCCTCCTTGCCCAGGAAGTCGCCCTCCCTCGCCTGCTCGACGTCGCTGCCGCCGGCGATGAAGTGCACCACGGCGCGGCCGCGGCTGAGCTGATCTAGCGTAGCCAATGCCTTGGCGGCCACCGTGGGGTACAGCGTGTTCGGACGCAGCGCAATTATGATCTTAAGATTCTTGGTCACGGCCGCGATAGTGGCCCCGGTAGTAAAGGGATCAAAATACGACGAGTCGTACGGCACAAGCGTGTAGTTAAACTCATAGTCGTCAAGGTTCCGGGCATATCGGGTCAGGTAGTCCGGATCAATCGACGGGTTCGGGAGCGGGTTCAGCTCCGTCGATGCGTTCGGAAACGTCAAGCTAATAAATTCGGTAGGCATTTTTACAGTCACTCCCGTAGGTCAATATAATTATCTAGAACTAGATCCCACCGGAGAGTCGAAGATGTGGTGTTTTATACTGTTCGCGATGGCGACAACTGCTCTAGAATCACGCAATAGATATGGGCCGGTGCCGGCCCGGTATACTCCTCATCTCAACCCCAACTTCACACGGAATAGATCATAGATCAACGGTATTCAGTTCTTGATTTCTAAGCACGTAGCCACGTTAGCTTATTATGGTTAAGGGCGCAGGTTTCTGATATCTCTGCATCAATCCAAGGGTATCATCTGGGAACCACCAGGAGAGAAAACTTAGGTATATTTTTCTATCTGAAGACGACGGGTTCGTAATAGTACCTTTTTTGTGGAGTTCGGTTGTTATAAAAACCAAGCAGACACCCAAGAGAAGGCGAATGTGCATAGCTAGGACACACTATGAAAACACTTGTGAAGATTATATCCGTACCTCCTAATGATGATTAACATGGCCACATACCAAAATACCGTTCACATTCCAACTTCATCAACTCCATACGGAATGACTGGGGAAAACAGAATTTCAATTTCCAACCCGAAGAGCTCGTTCAAAAATGCAATAAAGCAGTCGCAATCTTCACATACTGGACGAGATACCATGATTGTCGCTTTATTCGGAGTCATAGTAGGCACTGAGCTTTCAGGGCTCCTCAGATTCTTGATCGGATAGTTCGCTCAGATTCAGTTTCTCGAGTCCAAGCGTACTGTCCGCTTCGCAAGGTGAAAGCCTGTGTTCTTGGATAAAAAATGCTGCAAGTTGTTTCTCCGCGTGGCAAGCGTAGTAACTTCCAGGTTTGTCCCTGTCGTCATAAACGTGTGGTTCCAACTCATACCCAGTATCTTCGCAGAGGCGGATTGCTTCGTCTGTCCATTTTCTCCCATCAATTTGAGTATTGGGTTCATGGTTTGCCTGCTTTGCCCAACCACTCGTCGCAGTCACGATACCCGATGGGCCACCACTGTACAGGACGCCAATGGTCTTCCATTCGCTGGAGAGTTGAAACTCGGCAGCAAATGTTAGCAAGGTCTGATCTGGGGTCGATTCCATGAAACTAAAGCTTGGCACACTGTAATAGTGGTTTATGTCTGGCTGCGATATCCCGTACAAGAGATCAACAATTTCCGTACGGTCCTGGTCTCTCTGGGACGTATCCGTCTCTATTAGATACCCGAGTTCCGAGCGTTCTTAGGTATTAGCCGAAAGACATCTTGCGAATTCGATAGCAAGAACCGGCAACCCGTTACGTGTGCATTCAAGCTGTTCGTTGGCTCCATATTCGAGGAGAAGCTTCGTGTTTTTTAATCGGCCCCAGAGGGCTGCCTCCGCAAGCGGTGTTCTGCCCCTGAGATTCATAACATTCGGTTCTGCTCCCTTTCTAAGTAAAAGCTTGAGTATGTTCGCAAACTTCCCGCGGGCAGCTATATATAGAGCTGTATCGCCACATCTCTTCTTGACTTGTCTTCTATCTGGTAGACTAGGGTATCGCCATCGCGCCTAATCCAGCTGTCCTCGGTGCCGTAGAGGAAGACATCTCGATCTGGAGATGACTCAAGATATTGACGAACGTGTTTAATATTCCCTCTGATCATTTTGGCCACTGTCTTCATAATCTTTCCTTCGGGACGCCCAACGGGAACCACCGACTTCTCTTCGCCGGCTCCTGTCCGTCTCAGGTGGCCTTTAACACGTTCCTTGACCCCCTCGCGTGACTGGTCTCCTCTATCCTCTGGGATGTCTTCAACCTGATCCGCTACGCTGGTTTCGAAGGGGGCTCGCTGTTTGTCGGCTTCGCACTCAATGCCACCGTCGGTAGTTAGCGGTTGAATCCCATTTTCGGCTTGGGCGCAATGAGGTCCGCGTTTCTCCTTGACCGTTGAGTCTCCCTCCAAGCTATGATGAACATTCTCGGGGTTTGAAGGAGAGCTCCGCGATGAAGCCTTTGCTTCTTCATGATTGTCGGTAGTCCGAGCCTCAGGAGCCATGGCTTCGGTGTAGAGAGGTATAAAATTGGAATGAACAAATATTCCAAGTTAACTCGTACGGCGACTTAGAAGACTTAACGTAGGTACTGAGTTGGGCAACTCTATCTGGTATCTATCTTGACGTAGATGCGATTCTGTGTAACTCCCCGCGAACAGTCTGAATTCTGCCTTACACTGCCCTACTACTTCTTCCAAGCCGCTCGCTCGTCGACCTATGATAACCTCCCACAACCGCTCTCACTTCCGCTAGCACAGCCACCACCAACGCCAGTACAGCCAGCTACCCCTCTTCCTATCTTAAATCGCCCAATAACCCCGAGCTGTTTCAGACAGGAGGCGTCTACGGGTAGCCACGGATTCGCAGACAATTGCCATGTTGGTAAATTATGATAAGACGTCTGCAAGCTGTTAGGCATCTTCGGCCGTACGGGAGGTTGCAATATTGGGTCGAGAGCAGTGTGTCGTTCTCAAGGATTGGCACTTGCTGCTTTTGAGTCATGAGATGGAATGGGCCATATTTGGTAGGTTAAGTAGACGAAGGTATAATCCCTGATGACGGCCTCAAGTGTTGAGGTCTAGCGGTACACTTTTCTTTGGCTCTCGATCCGCACATCTCATTATGACAGATCATGACACTTGGTTATCAGATATATTTTAGATGATAGGTACCTGGAAATCAGCCAGTGTGTAACGTCTTATTTGATTAGGGTTCTCACCGCTTCCGCCCGAAAATATGTGGCATTGGTTCAAGATGTTGAGAGGGGGGGAAACCGGTCAATCTATTTGACAAGTTTCTTGTGACTCATATCATGGCCATCACTTTCCAGTAGGATACGCGGGTGGCGTAGGTAATAGAAGGCGGCGGCAGGGTGCGAGCATAGAAGGAAGACTACAGGACGGGCCGTATTGCACCTTCCCGGTCAGCAAATGGTCATTCTGATAACCACTAACAAAGGGACTGCCCGGACTACCCCGCTTCTTAAGATTCAGATGTGTTGGCAAACGGGTGGCAGTAACACGGAAGGCTGCCGTAAGGAAGGTACGTGTTACTTTCCAGCAGCAGGCAGCCGCGATGTATCGATAAGACTCAGTATATATTCTCAAACCTTGCCCTTGACCTGACTTCTCTTCTCTCATCACCTACAGGTAGAGTTCTGGTTTCTCTTTTTCGTCGCCTAAATTCCGTCACAAGTTCTGCACAATGGCATCGGTTATTGTCGAGATCACTCGTCCCTATGTTCAGGGGCTTTCTACTCCCGAAGCTTCCATCACAGGCACAAAGCACCTGTCCTCCTACAACTGGATCGAGGCACCCACGGCAACTATTGCCATTCCAGGTAGTCCGCCTGTTTGGTCGCCGCCCAGGATTACTCAACCCCTGAAGAAAGACTCAGGCCTAATCTACATCGCCCAAAATGCAGCCCGGCACCCAAGCAGTCCACTCGAACCCCTGTTCCGTGCCCTGTATA